AATCTAGCCCGGGCAACATAGTGAGACTCGTCTCAAAAAAAAAAAAAAAGAATGCCATCACCTAAACTTTGTCACCCTCGATATATTGATGTCACTATCTCTAATAAAGAGCTTTTCAGTAGAAGATGCATCTTACAAGGTGACTGCCCCCAGCGCTGTGGAAAGCAGTGGCCTTCTCCAGGGCCACATGTTTGCGTGACACTGTGTGCCCCCGGCCTGGGGTCTCAGTGTTTTTGAAAGTAATCCTGTAACTTAGAACAACTTCGTGGAATGAAAGGTCTGGCGAGGTTTTTTTCCCAACAGAACTTGGTATTTCGGTTTTGCTCCTAATGGAGGTTGGGTGTCGGCTACACGTCCTTGGGGGAGTGATGCTGAGCAGACGCCATCCCCGAGTGCGCGAGTGGTCTCCGTCGTGTCGGGGCACTGTGCTGACCAGGTGCCAAGGGGGTGGGCCGTCGGCCCGAGTTGCCGGCCATGCAGGGTCTGCCTGACACTGCCCTCCGAGGCCGGGTCAAGGGTTGAGGTCACCAGTGCCCACAGCCTTCTTGCCTGGGCGTGCCTCCGGTGGCGGGAGGGCTTGGGAGAGCAGGCCCCGGTCTGGAGGGACATCACTGAATGTTGCCCGCCCAAGCCGCCATGAGAGCCGGACCCTCCAGAAGTCTCATCCTGCAGGAGCGTGACCCAGACGATGCGCCTGACATGGACCGAACCGGGCCTCGGCTGCTCTGTACCCACAGGTGCCCCAGAAGGGGGCGTCTGCGCCCGGCCGTGTGCGCCGCAGCCCTCCGTGGAGGGAGGGGCAGCCAGGCAGTGCCTGGGGAGGACCAGTCCTGCTGGCTTTCCCGGCCACTGTCATCCCTTTCTGACTCTGTCCCCAAAGCTCATGGCGATGCTTGTGCTTCTCAAAGGATTGAGGCACGTCGGCCACACGGGCAGCGTGGCGCGAGGGAACAGTGTCGGACCCTGGGGAGTGCCAGGCGCAGCCCCAACGGCCACAGGGAGCCTCGGTGGGCCTGGTGCTGTGCTGCTGGCCACTTGTCCAAGTGACCTTGAGCACAAAGGTCGTGCCGTCTGCTCTCCAGGCCCTCGGAACACACGGTCAGGAGATGAGAACGGGGCGAGAGCTGCCGACCCCCAGGCAGCCCTGGCAGGGAAGCTTCCTCACGAGGCCACATGCCCTTTGGGAAAAACTTCTCTCCAGCAGAAATGGGGGTTTACAAGTTGCAGGTCCTTACCATTGTCACAAAGAATAACGAAATGGCAGTTAACGGGAAGAAGCCGCGACGTTTCAGAAGCACCACAGCCCCGTCCTGCTTGGCTCTGAGTTCCGAGGGCCCTCGGTGTGTTCCGCCTCCAGCACTTGGACCCGAGGAGAGTCCCGCCAGTCCACAGAAAGTTCTTACCGCCCAAGCGTTCTCCTGCGCCGCCGTTTGGGCTTGCCTGTGTCCAAAGTGGGTGCAAAAGATCAGGACCCCACAATAGTCTGATAAAACAGTTCGCAGGCAGGCAGGGAACTGGCGTCTCCCGCAGTCTCACTCGAAGACGGTTCCTCCCGTCCTCCCCACGTGTGGTGTGAGACCATCGCAAAGTGGACCCCGAGTTCCCGTTATCGCCTGGGGTGACGTGTCCTGGCCAGTCAGCTCTCCCCGCTGAGCTGCTCCTGTGCCTCTTGGAGAACCAGCCGTGTGGCCGGATTTCAGGAAAGCAGAGCTTGTTCTCTGCGGAGGCGC